CGGAATTTATTCTCCTAACTATTTCTCAGCCTTTTATCTTTTACACACCGTTTTTGTTTATTTTCTCTGTTTCTCGTATAAGCACAATCATGAAATATGCCTATATAAAATTCAATTTGATATTACGTGCTGATGTAGGTTATACTCATAACAAATTTATCATTTGAAAATGAAGAAGCCATGAATTGTTCATACCAGAAAAGAAGATGTTCAAATCGCAAAATATGCAAAAGTTGTTGTAGACCATGGATTCATGTTTTCAAAAGTTTTAAAAATCCAATATATATTGATTTTTTTTTTATATTTAAAAAAGAAGTAAATGCGGTTCCATGTGTTGAATATGACCATTTAACAAACATTGTACGAGGATTACTATAAATCACCTGAACTACATGTTTTGATTTCTAACTTAGATTTCCTACATGTAAACATATATTAGGGAAGTGTCTTTTCGACTGTATCAATTCAATAATTGAGAAGGGAATCGGTTCATGTGATGAGCCGAGAGAAGCAAAATATAATAAAAGCAGTCAAAAGAAAATTTGTATATTGAAAAGCAAAAGGAAAACGAAGTTGCCATCATTGGCTCGTAAAGAACAAAGAATCAAATTACATTTATCATGATTTGATCTCTCACAATCCCAATTCTCCTTTATGTGGATGCGGAAAAACACTCTAGCCACACGTTTAATGTAAGAAAATTACTTAAATTTCTCAAAACAATAGATAGTACTATTCGATTTATTCTTGAATATTTTACAAATTAAAAACCTCAGCAACTAAATATTTCAAAACAAATATTAGGACAATCATTTGAGAAATAACTTGTTTGGATCAAAGTGTAGTAGAGTAGAGATATGAAACAATTTTTTTTTTTTTTTCAATTTACATTTGTCAACGGAATTCACTAGACTACTTTCTCCAACTCTTTGCGGAGAAATGAAATCGAAATCTGGTGGCAAAAAACCACAAATCGACATTCAATATGGAATTTTGCATAAATGGACGTGTTTAGTTCAACCTATTATGAAACTTTTAGGTTAATTTAGACACTGTTTTTTAATTTATTTGCTCCCGGTAAGATCAATCTTAAAAAACAATACTATGGTTTCTAAGCAAAGCTATGTTAACCAAACTTAGAAATTACATTATATATATGTGTGTAATATATAGGTCTGTTTATATATGCTGAACTCAAGATAAATATAGGAATATATAAGAAACCATGGACAAGAAAAGATAATGTCCTTCTGTATGAGTATTTGTTCCAGAAGCATTAAACCTTTGGAATAAGTATTATTCTTTTGTACCGTTACTATTTTATAAGCTTCACCAGCTCTATATATATTCTCACCATTATT